ATTGTCCAACTTTCTGATGCATAGCAATTAATTGCGAAGACCATGGCCTGGATTAGGTGCACGTTATTCTCTAGACTGACATGTTGCTTTTCAGTACTCGAATTAGGTCCCTGACAGCTGATTTTCTCAATGCAATTTGTCTTTTGATTTCCTGACTACTGGTGTTAAGAGTGTTGATTGTGGAGCCGAGCAAGCTGTAATTGTTAACAGTCTCTTCTTCATCTACCATGGAGCTGCCAATTGGCCCAGTGGTGAGAATCTTTGTTTTCTTGATTTTGAGCTTCAATCCATATTGAATATTACAGTCCTTGACCTTCTAGAGCAAGCACTTCAGTACTGCTCAGTTTCAGCAAGCAGGGTTGTGTCTTCTGCACAATGTAGTTGGTTGTTGAGTCTTCCTACAATTCTGATGCCACATTCCCCTTATAAAGCCCAGTTTCCCAAGTGATATGTTCTGCATATAGAATGAAAAGGTATGAAGACAGGTTGTATCCCTGACACACTCTTTTTCATTTTGAACCATGCATTGTTCATTCGTTCTAACTCCAGACCATTTTTTCTTACCAAGTCTGTAGTTTTAGACTGCCAGTCCTTTTTAGTTGTTTCTAACTTTTATAATCCTGTCACCAATTATTATTAATATATCTTGATTGCATGTTCAGTTAATTTCAGACTGCAAAAGTTGATAGAAATCTTCAATATCCTCTCTGGCTTTAGTTATTAGTGGTTATATTTTAATAATAGTTGTATTAACATATCGATCTTGTATACTTCCTAGTATTCTGTCACTCACAGAATTGTGCTTCAGGATAAATCTTGAAAAGGTCTTTTCATCTATGAATGCAGCACTGTTCTTCAGTTTTCAGTCCTGGTGTAATAGACCATATGATTGTCTGGTTCAGAGTGACCAACACTAGTCCAGTTCAGCTCACTTGTGTCTAGAATATCAAATCTTTATTAATTCTATTTCATATTTTACAACTTCCAAATTTCTTAGATGAAATACTTTGTTCATTCTACCTATATACATTTCCTTTATTTTTTTAATTAATTATTTTTTTTTAAAAGAACAGGAGCACTGTTTTACTAGGACAGTTCACTTGAACGCCTATGAAACCACAACCCTAAACCTCCAGGTCAAGGTACCAGACACCAGGAGTTGTACATAAGTGCTTTAGGAACCGTTCTTTGTTGTTGCTGTTCTTTTAAATACACACACACACACACACACACACACACA